TTCAGACAGACTTAAATATTTTGATTAGCTGGTCTAAGGAGTGGCTGATGCCTATCCACTTTTCTGGTCATAGATCATTTTTATCTCTCAGTACTATTGTATCCAGTACCTTTTTTAAAAAGACCTCCGTTTGATGGCTGGACAGTGCAACAGAAGCCATTGCCAACGTCCGGGCTGTCGATACCCTGTTGAAAACGGCATGCAGTGCGATGAGTGCAAAGGCTGGTACAACGAGTTGTGAGGCTTCGACAGAGAATGATGCCGAAACCACTCTGGGTGAGGCACGAAGCCATCTAGATAGGCTCCGGATCCGTTACACCGATGCTCAAAGCTTGCTCAATAAGCGATCGGAACTAGGTGTACAGATTGACTCTACAATGCCAGACATAATCACAGTCACAGAAACTCGGCTGACGCAGTCTATGGATAGTATGGAACTTGATTTAGAAGATGTTACGTTAGTAGGTGCCGACAGAATACAAAAGCGTAAAGATGGGAGAGTAGCTCTATTCATTAGGAATGCCATCCCATTTGCCATTATCGACAGTGTATCCCATGAGAGTGGGACGTGTGAATTAAGTAGTTGCCGTTTGAAATGCAAGGGACAAGAGCTGCTGATTGGTTTGATCTATCGCAGTCCGAGCTGTGAGGTAAATGAGGTCCTGCTAAGCAGTCTCAATACTTGGTCACAAAGTGGTCGATGTCTCAACCCAAGTATCTTATGACTACGGAGAGTAAGACCTTATGTAGAAAACACTGGGACTTACCAACATTTCCGCTTCTCAAACCTAGTGTGAAACCAAACTCCCTCAATACAACCAGGTCCCTCGACACATTAGATAGTCTTTTCATCTCTTCTTTTCCTTCTACACATATTTCATTTCTAAACATCTAACATCTATAACTATAAACACAAAAGTAATTTATCCTACGTTACACTTAAACAAATTAACTCAGCTTCGTTTTATCATCACCACATCTATATAACACACAGAAATTTACATCTTTTATTATCCTTCTCACTTGATTGTGACTTCCATAGCATCATTCTAAATTATTATTGCACAAATGTTTATACTAATATCCGGTTTTACTCTGTATTCTACTACTACTACTACTTCTACTACTACTACTTCTACTACTACTACTACTACTACTAATACCACTACTACATAAATCTACATTTATTCATCCAAGTGCACACAATTATTATCATGGTGGAACCCTTTCACTAGGTGATCCTTCCTAACTATGACTGCACAAACGCTTATTCTGACGTCATGTCTTGCTGCGATAATAAGTTACTTCTCTTATTTTTATTCTATTTTTGTCACTAATCTCGCGATACATGCATAGTCGTTTATCATTCTTCTGTGTTCGTTAACACGCTCATTGAACTGTAACAGCTTAGGCTGGTTGTCAAGAGTTAATCTCAAGCAAATAAGCATATACCAATCACTAACATCCATCGACGTCTTGGACGATGGGCAGAATTTTTCGAAGGGCAGTCCAACTGGCCTGCTGCTCCGCCATACGTTTGTCATATTTGTCTCGAACGCTACCTTCATCTACTATTCCGTCACATTCTCTCAATAACAGCAAAGTGTTTGGCGACAAGGCCAGCTTATCGTTAGCATCTTGGATAACTGGAGTTAAGGGTCGATCGTTCAGTATTCTTTCTACTTCGACCAAATAAGTGCCTAAAGCCTCATCAGTTAAAGTCTGTTCTCTGGTGATCAACAATTACAGTCGGCGTATAGACCTAATCATCCTTTCCCATACTCCACCCCTGTGGCTGGATGAGGGTGGGTTAAAATGCCATTGAATCTGCCTCGCTGACAGCTCGTTACTTATCTTCCGCTGATTAAACTGTTTCACAAATTTCCTTAGTTCAGTGACTGCACCCACGAAACAGCATAGTTCAGATATTTATTCACTTTATTTTGTTTAGGCGTTATATTTCTATCTATCTTATATTGCTTGTTGAGAGGTTTTGTTTGTCTGAGTAAGGAATCCCACGCTCCACTGTGACTGCGCGAAGATCAAAATAAAGACCCATTTTCCTACGAGTCTGGTTTCTTCTATTAATAACGCGAGGGTTACAATAAGGCACGAAAAAACCATTTGCGTATTTCACGTCTCCTTTATATCTGTTCCCTTATTTTCTCCCTTTCCTTCTTCATAGTCAACTCGATATTCTTCTCAATTACACAGAACCTGATTTATTATTATTCTATTGTCACTATTATCTTCTTTTTCTCTATTCGAATATAGCGAATATAATGCTAGCATTATTTAAACTCGTGTATTATTGCACTCTTGAAGAAACCCGAAATGGTTTGTTCACAACACTTATGTACCCAGTAGATGTTTGTGAATAGTAATAGTGATAGTAAGAATAATGATAATAATAATAATCATAGTAGTTAACACCAGTATTGTAGACAACTCTGATACCATTTTTGAACAATTCATCCGCCATTTCTCGCGATGCTGCAACACGAAATGTGAAACTTTTATCATTAGGCTTCTAAAGTTGACATCTCAACATCTATCCACAGTTGATTTAACATCCACTAACATCAAGCAGGCCGTAACCACCATGAAAAGTCTTATGGCGGTGGATCTGATACCATTTCTGCATCATTCGTGAAATACGATAGTACAGAATTCCCAGCATTCCGTGTAAAAGTCTTCAACCTACCTATGAACTATGGGGTTTATACATATGTATGGAAAACATCGCTTATCACCCATGGATCCAAAACGGGAATATGTAGCGATATCGCCCACTATATGCCCGTTAACTTGTGATCTATGCTATCAAGGATCATGGAAAAATTCATCCGCAAACAGTTATTTTCATTTTTACTTCCGGCTAGCCTATTTAGCAAATACCAGCGCTTCGACTTGTATCTTGTCAGGTACTGCTGCTTTCTCACTCTTCATTAATCTGATGACCATCTAGATTTCTTCGATCGTTTGGCTTCCAGAATGGATTGGTAATCTGGAAGGAAATAGACAGAGTGTAGACATCTGGATGGCTGTTGGAATTTGTCGTTATTCGAGGGTTTATTGTTTGGATTTGTAGTCATTGTTCATGGAGAATTTCTCATTGTCTATTGTTAGAGGCAAAATCTAAGAAAATGGTTAATTTGGCTGGCGAAGCTTGCTCACATCACTCACCTCCATCTAAGATTCTTGGTTCTATTGTAACTTAACCCTTTCTATATGTATTCACCTTGTATTACCCGATTCCTAAGTAATTTTAGGTCTAATTTGAAGTGATCAACCACAAATCGATCACTTTTCTACTCAAAAACATATCACATATACTTAAATATTATTATTCAAACTGTTACATTGACTTTTAGAATGTAATTTCTTAATATATAGAAAGAATCTCGTCACACGATTTCAACGGATTAGATTGACATTTTATGGTTTCTGATAATGAATGAATTGATAAGATCATGCTGAACGGATGCGACTCAATAGCATAAATATACAGCAAATGTAATTGCTCCTACAATCTCCTGTTTCACTGAGATTCAACAATATAACGCATGGTTATTGATTACGAAGGATTGGTAAACAGCAAAAATACAACTTATTACATGTATTCCTAGAGATTTAGATGAAAATGCCTACATTATTCAAGCATATTTGTTCATAAACACGGTAAACTATCAAATAGAATTGTTAAGACTCTGTAGCAATATGATTACAAGTATAAAGATGTTCGATGTGTAAATACCTCCAACCACTGCTTAACATTCCAACACAGTGCATGCGTTGTCGACTCACCTAAACTAGTGGCTACAATGCTACTTGATCAACAATTATAGAACTAAACAAACATGGGATTGATCGCTTCTCAGAGATCTTACCACAAACCACTAAACTACAATGATAATATCTAATTAGCAGTCCAGCAATTTTTTAGCTATTATTATTATTATTGTTATTATTATATGCTTTATTCAACATTATATTTGTGGTACACTATTGAATTCTCAGCATAAAGTATTTTAACAAGTTTCTTTTGCTTATATCTTGATCGATCCTGACGATAAATATTGAGTGCTGGCCAATTAGATGTTAGGAGTTCGATAATCGACATCTGAATAATGTTCATTCGTTTCAAAGCATATTACAAGCCACCATGATGTCTCTGGTTGTACCTTTTTGTAATCCGTACAGCGAAAGGTTGTAAACTTTTCGTAAACGCGCACGAAAACGGATAACTTGACGAAATATCTAGATGGGAGGGAACAGGTAGCCCAGATATTCAAGCAGGCCGCCGATTAGCTTATACAAATAATAGAAATTACAACTCCTTCATTATACGGTATAACACAATACATGTTACGTATTACGGCAATTTACCAAAATATGACGAAACTGTATTCACATGAAGATTACCTAATCAACTGCTCAAGCTTGATCTCTAATCCTTCATTCTGCAAACAATTAAAAATCAGTAATTATTGATATTTTCAGATCGCTTGGTATAAAACATAAAACATTATTATAAGGACTACGGCAACATCAACTGGAGCGAACATGCCATTTTAATAACCTTATTCATCGCTAATGATTCGGTGTGTAAACCCATTACGAAAACACCAATCTTATGCTAAATGCACACATGACGAGTCGAATAGACATATGTCTTATAAATAATATGCATACACAAATTCATCAGGAAAGCAAGTGAAAAGACAAACTACAAGTATGTTTATAAGTATGTATTTTATTTTATCGAGAAATTCATTTGCCATAAATAAGAAAATTAACACAGGTTTGCAGAAAAATAAAATAGTAACATCAAATCATGAAGAATAGGAAGAAAGTAGAGACATATCATAATGGCTATTGACAAAAAGAATTCACAGTAAATAATCAGAAAGACCAGAACTAAAAATAATACATCAAGCGAAATATTGTACAGAGAAATAGAGAATAGTGATAGAAAGAGGAAGAAAATACAAAGATACTTACAATAACCAACAATGTAATAGCATTAGATGTACAAAAAAGAAATAAGTCAAGAATATAAACATTGCTTTAGGTCTAGGTTGACTTCGCAGACGAAATGAAGTAAATCTTATACCACTAGACATTCCGGGTGTTAGTTGTTGACTACGTACAACCAACTGCTTCAATAAAACAGATAGCCAATCCTTTAGGTTAACTACAACAATAAGGATAATAAAAATAAAATGGTATTATTGAGTAAAGAAAATAACTTTTAGTTCTATTCAAAGTTACATGAGACGCACAATCCTGAAAAGAGAATAAACTTAAATACTAAAAAATGCAGCTAAACATTCAATATAACCGGTAGTACGATCAATGTTATGGACGGCTGCAAGATTCCTGAAACGTTCAATATCACAAATTCTATTTCAGTAAACGTGTAGTGTCTGTTATTATGTTAAGCCCATATACCTTATTCTAGCTTTCGGACAGCCCAATCTATTCATTCTACTTGAGTCATATTTTGACCTTGTTAATTATTCGCTTATCAACCTTGACTGTTTTTATATGAGCGCGTAGGTGTGTGTACACTTCTTATCCCATTACTCATCACATGTCTGTAACTTAGTTTTGTGGAACTATAATTATTGATTAACGCTTGACTAAAGGGGAGTTGGCTTACCCGCCATCTCCACTGCGCGTCGTTTTGCTTCGTTCTATTCCATTCGCTTCATATACAAAATATATGTATCCGAAAGTCCATTCCCGTTATTTGACTTATTTAATTCCGTTATTGACTAACGCGATTTAAGTCAATGATTATATACGAGGATAGGCGACATATACAATTCAATAACAACCATTCATGCGATCTATTTGGAGTCAGATCCACGGGCCACTAAAGTGGAGGGCCCTTCGACAACATCGTCCAATCTAAATGACGACAAAATAAAGGGGCCCACAAAAAACGTAACACATCGAAGTACCATGTTTTTACACTACACTAGTAATATAAATGCTTCAGTGAACTAAGACCCTGAAAGTGAACAATTTTTATCACCTACTGACTGGGTCAATGAGTCAATTGATCTTGAAACTTTTCTGACAGTCTCAACATAATAATGATAATATAATAGTACACTCAACATAAAAGTCATACACAACATACAAAAATTAATATATATTCTTTGCTCGTAATACAACTGTTATATAAATTACATTTATTCAGTTAAAAGCAAGTTCGCACAAGAAGAATACGTTATACAGTAAGCATAATACAAAATCTTACTTAATTGATGTAACGATTTAAATCTGATGGGAACAGAACGTAGAAATGATTCTGTAGGTTCAAAAGATTGAAGAACACCTCTCAAATTAACAACTGCTGATTCGCCTGTATAATTATTGTTTGGTTCATGTATTTTAATAAATATTTCCGATGTCCTAGACAGAAATAACAAGCAAGAAAATATTCATATGATCTACACCATAATACACGTATTGCAAGTATCATTAACGAGGTTCGACTTGATCATTTCAAATAAATTGAGCATGGGGTAGATTGTTAGAAATAAAAATAACATGTTTATAATATCCCAATGAGTAGAGGAATTAGATTTTCTGACGTTTCGTGACTCAGTGCAAGCCACTTCTTCAGAGACGTGGCTTCGACTCACATTTCTAGTGTAAGCACTAGTGACACGATTCGAGTCCAAGAGTTCAATGTATTAAATAAAAAGCCATTGAGTTATATACAATAATATACACGTAGTACAGATGTGAAAATGTACTGGAAGCTAACATCTTACTGAACTTTTAAACTTGCTCCTGAAATTCACGAATCATGAATATCCATTGGAAATCTTAAGACTGGCTTAAGTGAAGTAGAATAAATTAAGAAAACAGGTACAGGATAATCGGATATTTAGTAATTTAATAGTTGAATTCATCAGTCAATTAAAGCTACACCACCTTGGAAAACCTGGAAGCACTGGACGGTCGTTTCGTCCTAGTATGGGACTCCTCAGCAGTGCGCATCCACGATCCCACTCTCAGGATTCAAACTCACGACATTTGCTATTTGGAGAAAATCAGAGTAAATGTTCTTGGACCTGTGTAGTCGATCATAACTTATGCCATTCAAGAAGTTCATAATCATCAACTACTATCGACCAATAGATTATAATCTAGGTTTCATAGCTTCATGAATCCCTTAAACAAGTAACCCAGTGATAATTCCACATGAAACTCTTACTTCAATTTACCAAACGTGGTGCATAGAGGAAGAGAATGTCTAGGTGTGTACGAAATGTCCAAAAACACCTTAATTCAAGTGGATTAACAAGGGATTTTCGTTCATCACTTATCAGTTCAACATAGTAGTAAGTGAGAAGTTGAAATACAAGTCAAATATAAACATAACTAATGAAGTTATCAGGCGGCATTTTCTAAACAGGAAACTATTCTTAGAAGAGCTAGAACAAAGATTTTAGCAGAATAGCATGAATTCATTTTATTTCGTAGGTTCTCATCAGCTGCTTACAACCTGTTATATTTATAAATCATAATAAGACAATGAGTTTAAATGACTTACATGAGAGGATTTTGTTAGAAGTTATATAGAAGACATATTCGTATAGTGTAGCAAGGGTGTAAATGAAATTAATATACTGAATATTGTAAATATATACCTAATGTGAAAGAATATTCTACATCATTAATTGTGACGACAGTTCAAAAAGGGGGTTAGAAACAATTGATTACATAATGAGTAAAAAAAAAAAAAAATTTTGATAGGAATATAGTGAGTAGAGTTCAGTTAAAAGATTATTAATTTGAAACGTAGTTGAAGAAATAAAATAATGAAAATCAATGATGTAATAAGTACAAAAATAATAATAATAATTTATGGTGCAGAGAAGGAATATTTGTCACCAAGGCAAAGAAAGATTAACAACCATCTCCTTTTGAACACATAGGTCAGGTTTTTGACGCCTGATGGCAACGGCTTCAGCAAACTTCAGAAGACTGGAGTTTGGCTGCTTACTAATCACCTTGAAGGATTGTAAGGTATCTACCTGATGTCCTGTATCAAGGAGATGTTTGGTGATTGCACTATTCAGAGTCCTTCTTTCCCTTGTTCTAAGACTTTTTGGAACATGTTCAAAAAATCTAAGGTATGCTCTCCTTTCTGTTCTGCCAATGTAGCTGCTTTGGCAGGTACACGTAAATTTATAAATACAGTTGGCGGTAACATGAAAGGGTTGCTTGTCGACCTTTGATTGAGTTATTGAACATGTTGTTTTATAGAAAATTAAAAGTTTAGCAGCCGGATAAGTTCTGGCAAGCGCAATATTCAGTCTCCTACTGATTATTTGTGCGACGTTATCACCTTTAAAGTTAAGATTTATAGATACTGTCTTTTTATTGACCGTAGTTATTTCCGTCTTGTTTTCTTTTGGCTTTTTATATTTGTCAATAAACTTTTGTGGATAGAAGTTGTTTCTTAGACATTCTTCTAGGTTCATTAATTCTTCTTCAAGTTTGTCGGTGGTACATATCTTTTCTACCCTGTCAAATAGTGTTTTAACCAGTGCCTTCTTGTAACTAATTGGACAGAAACTATTGAAATTCAGATAGAGGCCATTCCAATTGCTTTTTCTATAAACTGAACGTTGTACTGTCCCGTCTTTCCTACGTCTTATGGCAACATCAAGAAAGTGGAACATGTCGTTCTGTTCGTGCTCCATAGTAAAGTGAATGTTAGGATGAGCGTTATTGAAGAGTTCTAGCAGGCGGGTTGCATGCTGTTTATTATTACAGACAATAAATGTGTCGTCCACATATCTGTAGTATTCCGTCGTTTCACTGATCGCCTGTTTAAGTACCGTGTTTTCAAGATACCCCATAAAAATATCTGCCAGAATTGGACCTAGTGGACTCCCCATTGCTACGCCATCGATTTGGCGATATATGGTGTTATTAAATTGGAATTGAACATCAGTTGTGCACATTAGTAGTAGTTTTTTGAGTTCTGGAGCTGGTAAAGGTAGGAGATCATCATTCTGACAAATTATATCAATAGTTTCAAAAAGTGGTATATTGGTGAACAATGATGTTACATCAAAAGAGACCATTAACTTATCAGTAACATTCGTATGATTTAATCTATCAGCAAACTGGAATGAATCTCTTAACGTGTATGTTGCTAATCTCCGACGAACCGGTTCTAGTTTTACTGCTAACCAGCGTGCAACTTTATGATACGGTGAGTTGATCATTGATAGGATAGGTCTGAGGGGAACGTCATGTTTGTGAATTTTTGGTAAACCATACATGTGAGGTAGACGTGAACCACGTGGTCTTAGATCGTTGTACGTAGAATTATCAATCATTTTCTTTTTTAGAAGTTCTCTGAGCATTCCTGTGATTCGTTTTTCTGTTGAATCAGTCAAATCTTTTTTGGATTTATCTACCTTGAACCTAAGTTGATCGTCTAGGATTGACTTCATCTTAGTTACATAATCAGCTGTATCTATTAAGACTACACCTGAACCTTTATCCGGTCGTAGAATCATCACCTCATTATTTTGTTTGATGTTTCTTAGGGCTGTTAGATGTTCTTTGGATAGAACATTCGACTTTGGTGTCGATGACACGAAGTATTGGTTGGCAATATCAACTAACTTTGATTTGAACCATCCTTTCTTTTCCTCATTCATTGGTTGCAAATCTTTTAACTGGTCAAACAGATTTTCAAATTGAGCTTCTGTATCAATCCTGTCCGTATTTGTTTTTGGTATATGAAATTTGAGTCCAAGTGATAAGGCTTCTGTTTCTATACTATTGAGCTTCGTATTTGATAAGTTATAGATAAACTTCGAAGGGTTTTCCGGAAACCCTAAACATAGTTGTTCTCTTAACAGAGTTTTCGATAGAGATTTATGGAAATCCTTGCAAACCTTGATTTGAAGATCACGAATGAAGTTCATGAATTTTATTCGACATACGATGTTTAAATCATTAACGGCTCTAACAAAAGCACTGGCCTCAGTCCTTAGTTGTGTAATGAGTAATTTTGTCGATTCAATATGAGATTTGGTAATGCGTCTTAGGTTTTTAAGCGATGGTGGAAGTTTACATGAACGTAAAGATTTTACAAACTGCCGTGGGAAATAGCCTGACGTGAGACATTCTCCATAAAACTTGACCCTTGTCACTTCTCTTGATATTCTGCAGCGTACTGTCACAAAGTGATTTAGTGACTTAAATAACTGTTCAGGGAGGCGTTTTTTGAGAAATTTCATACACATAGTTCCCTTTATCATTTTGAAAAGAGCTAGAACAAAGATTTTAGCAGAATAGCATGAATTCATTTTATTTCGTAGGTTCTCATCAGCTGCTTACAACCTGTTATATTTATAAATCATAATAAGACAATGAGTTTAAATGACTTACATGAGAGGATTTTGTTAGAAGTTATATAGAAGACATATTCGTATAGTGTAGCAAGGGTGTAAATGAAATTAATATACTGAATATTGTAAATATATACCTAATGTGAAAGAATATTCTACATCATTAATTGTGACGACAGTTCAAAAAGGGGTTAGAAACAATTGATTACATAATGAGTAAAAAAAAAAAATTTTGATAGGAATATAGTGAGTAGAGTTCAGTTAAAAGATTATTAATTTGAAACGTAGTTGAAGAAATAAAATAATGAAAATCAATGATGTAATAAGTACAAAAATAATAATAATAATTTATGGTGCAGAGAAGGAATATTTGTCACCAAGGCAAAGAAAGATTAACAACCATCTCCTTTTGAACACATAGGTCAGGTTTTTGACGCCTGATGGCAACGGCTTCAGCAAACTTCAGAAGACTGGAGTTTGGCTGCTTACTAATCACCTTGAAGGATTGTAAGGTATCTACCTGATGTCCTGTCAATAAAAAGACAGTATCTATAAATCTTAACTTTAAAGGTGATAACGTCGCACAAATAATCAGTAGGAGACTGAATATTGCGCTTGCCAGAACTTATCCGGCTGCTAAACTTTTAATTTTCTATAAAACAACATGTTCAATAACTCAATCAAAGGTCGACAAGCAACCCTTTCATGTTACCGCCAACTGTATTTATAAATTTACGTGTACCTGCCAAAGCAGCTACATTGGCAGAACAGAAAGGAGAGCATACCTTAGATTTTTTGAACATGTTCCAAAAAGTCTTAGAACAAGGGAAAGAAGGACTCTGAATAGTGCAATCACCAAACATCTCCTTGATACAGGACATCAGGTAGATACCTTACAATCCTTCAAGGTGATTAGTAAGCAGCCAAACTCCAGTCTTCTGAAGTTTGCTGAAGCCGTTGCCATCAGGCGTCAAAAACCTGACCTATGTGTTCAAAAGGAGATGGTTGTTAATCTTTCTTTGCCTTGGTGACAAATATTCCTTCTCTGCACCATAAATTATTATTATTATTTTTGTACTTATTACATCATTGATTTTCATTATTTTATTTCTTCAACTACGTTTCAAATTAATAATCTTTTAACTGAACTCTACTCACTATATTCCTATCAAAATTTTTTTTTTTTTTTTACTCATTATGTAATCAATTGTTTCTAACCCCCTTTTTGAACTGTCGTCACAATTAATGATGTAGAATATTCTTTCACATTAGGTATATATTTACAATATTCAGTATATTAATTTCATTTACACCCTTGCTACACTATACGAATATGTCTTCTATATAACTTCTAACAAAATCCTCTCATGTAAGTCATTTAAACTCATTGTCTTATTATGATTTATAAATATAACAGGTTGTAAGCAGCTGATGAGAACCTACGAAATAAAATGAATTCATGCTATTCTGCTAAAATCTTTGTTCTAGCTCTTTTCAAAATGATAAAGGGAACTATGTGTATGAAATATTCTTAGAAGTTTGTGTTTGTCAAACTTTGTCTGGAAATCTTCTAGAATTTTATCCAAAGAAACAGTATAGTATAGTATATTCATTGGACTAAATGGTGAACGCAAAAAAATCTAAATAACCATAAGATATAACAAAGGGTGCTTCTTCATAAAATAACCATATGATTAGAACTTACGGTACTTCAGGTCCAACAGGATATGATGTCACAGGCTTTTGAGATGTTGGACAATATTTCCCAAGAAGTATTTGACTTCTACGAAGTTCCTGTGTACGCTCATACAAAGAGTCTTCAAGTAACGCGACCTGAGTAAAATATATGTACAATAATGTTAAGTTGTTTCATTATGTCAACCAATAAAATCAAATGCTTCAAAGAAAAATCCTTTTAACAAAACGTAACTAACCTGTTCATCCAATCCTTCAATGGTTGCTTTTAAATGTGCACGTTCTACAGTTGCATGACATAAGCGTTCTTTTAAAGTAAGAAACTCTGCATTACTTGCCTTCAACTGATCCATAGCCATAATCGCTTCCTCCTCAGCTACTTTTATTCTCTGTAACAACTGAGAATGTAACGAATCTTCATTAACACTTTGGCTCGGGTTAACCAAGTTATCATGCTTTAATTCACCAATTGAATGAAGCATCGAATTTCGATAACTATTTATTGCGGCTTCATTGTCGTTTTCCATTAATGATACTGGTGCCGATTTATTGGATACATGAAGGTTATTTAACTGAACCTCACTTAGGTTGCTTGGTTCGTTTACACTACCATGTTTTAAACTTCCATCAACCAAAATTACACCAGATGAAGAAGTTTCGCATGAAGTTATGTCATTGCCTACCACCAGTCAAAACAGATAAGAACAAAAACTATAATAACTATAAGATAACTATGTACAAAGCAAAGATCAATTAATTTCCAGTGAAACAGTTCATCTGAGAAATCTCATCATACCACCTAAATATGAAAGGTAGCACAACAATAGATTAATTATCCTTAAAAATATTCTTAAAACTCTGATGCCTAACCCAAATACTACTTCGTTAGTTGTAGCTAACGAGAAGTCAGGTGGGAAAGACCAATTTATTGTTGAATGCAAAAATTACAGAGTATCTTCGTAAAATATGAAAACCATACATTAAATATTTCATTTGCACATCTTCCGTCAGTTTTCTCTTACAAACTTCACCGTTCCTTTATTCCAGTTCTTATCACAATTACTCTCTTTATATTCTTGTTCTCTTCAATTCGATCTTCCCAATCTTAGGCTGACAGGCATTCTGTTATATCCTAGTGAGGATATATATATATATATATATATATATATATATATATATATATATATTCCTATTGTATAACTGTTCAGTAACTAGATTATGTATATCTATATTCCTCTTATTACAAGCTTCATTTAGGCCTATAGATTATGATTAAACGATTTACTGTTCTAAAGTTATGTTCAGTTAATCGATTACAGCCTCCCACGTTCACAGCCACTTTTTAGCTTCAACTTGTATAAACGTTATTTCCTATTTTATAGTGTGATGCGGTCTGTTTGGCTGGTATATAAACCAAGTATGTTCGAAATAAATGATTCACATAGTGGAAGCTGTTATTGGCTTTCTGCAATCAACTGGACGGGCTAGAAGAACAAAGGACCAATAAGGACGCTAGGCTGCTCATACCGGTCGAACGTCATTGGTTTAGCAGTGATAAGATTAAATAAGTCGTATTTCGATTGGCGAATAAATCCACCGGCTTCTGATACGTGTTACATACTACTTATATCTGTTGACGTAAGCAGCATACACCACAAGTACTCTGATTTCTTTCCTTTGTAAAGATAAATGCAAATAAATGATAACTGGAGTATAAACTTAATCTGAATACATATACGTGTAAATAGGCTCAAATCCAATACACCGCAGTTATCGACAGGGAAAATTACAACAAAATGTATAAATCAAACGATCATTGTCATCACTAAATTCTTATTGCCTACTAAATTCTCTAATTATGGGACATTCATATTCGTGATCAGGATGTTTCAGGTTGAGCAGACTGCAGAATTTAACAAAAGATATAGTCCGTAAAATGAAATAACAAAAACCAAATAACAGGAGGATTGAACGTCTAAAATTTACCTATGATGAATGGTTCCGTTTGAACATATTTACAATTTTCAACCGGGAGATGTGGTGAGATGTTATTGTATCCACCAATAGGGTCAATAGCTACATCAACCTTTTGGATAAAATCAGTTGCGGGAATATCATTCAACAAATCTGTTTGAACGAAACTGTCCATAAAGTGTGACTTGTGTATTGCTTTCTTCTTAAAGGCACTGTCCTCACAAACAAAATTCTGATGATTTATTATATTCCCTTGATGATCGATTAAATCAGGAAACGGGTTCATTTTAGATTGTTTACGTTGTAAAACATCGTTGAGACGTTGAAGTTTTTGACAATTTGTACAGCTTGAGGAATCGGATGAGTTTGTATTCACCAAACTATTAAGTTTGCTTGAAGAAATGCTTTGTGGTATAAGGCGATTTAACTGCATCCGTAAAGCTCTTGCATTTGAATTTGCTTCAGCTAACTGACCCCGAAGTCTTGATGCCTCACGATCATCATCTTCTCTTTGACGTGCCATATCTAATCGCAATTGAGTAAGCTCATTTTGAGCAATAGATAATCTCAGTTTTAAATCGTCGATACTTAAAGTATCTACATTTTGCAGTTCATTATTTGTGTGTACATTTCTTAGTAAATTCTCAATCACAACTATGAAGTAAATGTAAAAATAATAATACTCACATTATTGAAAGTTTTACTTATTTACACTTATCTCTTATATCGGTATCATATACGAAGTAGAGAGATTGTAAATCGAATAATGAAATGAATGAAAACGGAGTCACACTTGACCAGGTTTGAATCCCACTACATCTATTTCCGTTTGGGCGAACGAGTATTATCATTAGTTCTTACACTTTGAGTATGGCTCATACCCAAGAACCTGGTGAATCAGTGGTCTAGTGGTTAAGTGCTCACGCGCGAAACCAGTAGGTCCTGGGTTCGAATCTCGCAGGGGGCGAGGTCGTGGGTGCGCACTGCTGAGGAGTCCCATAATGGAACGAAACGGCTGAACAGTGCTCCCAGGTTTTCCATGGTGGTCTAACTTCAACTGACTCATGATCTCAATCATTGAAATTACTACAATCTCCACAAAACTCCTTCTGATTATATCATAATCACCAACAAACAGAATGATATAATGATATCAGAGCAATAAAACGGAAAACACTATTTATCAAACATACGGTAGTATGGAGTGATTAAAATGATTAAATTCTTTGTCTACCAGGAGGTAGCTTATTCATCATTTGATATTGAAAGGATTTTAGCATATTTAATAATTTGTGACTGATAAGATACCTACAGGATCGATTAAACTTAGTTCATCAGTATTTCAGACTGTCCTATGGAAATATAAAGCAAATAGTCGAGTACTTAATCAACTATGGTGTCAACGCTCTAGTTGCATAATATGAAAACCTAGGAGAGATGAAGCATAGTTTTGAAATTACATCTAAGGGAGAAATACATCATTCATAAAGATGATAATAATTGCTTTATTTCGTACCATACGTCTGAACTTCCAAGCGAATTCTCAGCTTAATCAGCCAATATATTTGTCCAAATAATTAAGATCAAAAGAGGTGATCGCATTAGCAAATACAAACTGTTGATAGATCATTTATTGAGTACTACAACGCATTGTTTGAAATACAAAATATTATCATCTCGTCGAATTTACATAATAATTGGTTTTTCAGAAATTACATATGGTTGTATTTAAATACATCTGCAACTGTATATCGAAACACAATTTCGTGAGTGTCTATAGTGCATGACTTAAAACCCAATACATGGAGTAACATATAGTTATTCAGTTTCTTTTATTCCTTGCTTTAACCCTTAAGTGTGTCACATCAACGCACTGGGACAGTTCTAGTAAGCAATAATTTCAAAATGCTCAAATAAAAAGAGTTAATAAAACGCGTGACGGAGGAATCATTAGTGTAAAAGAATAAACTTGACAAAATTATTACAAAAACACACAGAAGAATACAAGCTCTCTTATGAGTAAGACGACACAACTTAGATTACTTATCTGTCGGTAAGGAAACACTATAATAAACGTTTCATATCATTAAACTAACGATAAGAGATTAACACAATAAACTAACAATTGAAAAGCAAGAGACAGATAGGCGTGAGATCAAATCAGTCACTAGACACAAACAAATTACAACACATTTAAATCTTATAAAGCACAAACCTCGCATATTGTGGTCCAAAGAACTAGTGTTCAGATTTGTTTTACTGAAGAATAATTTCAACTGTTCTAATAAAGCAGTTGCTTTAGCTAATTGATTACGTAAATGAGTAATCTCCATAGTAGTTCTACGTTTTTGTGCTTCATAATTTCTTTGATGATGACGAATAGTATCTACACTGGAATCCAGTTCAGTACCCATATGATCTAATCGTTCTTGTAATTTATCAATACGTGTTTTTTGATTTATACGGTGTTTTCTTAAACGATCCAGTTGACCAACTGCATTCAATAAAGCCTCTTGTAATTCACACTTCGTTGGTTCATCGGATTCAGAAAAACTAGAATGTCTCAGTGTGCGATTGAGAACATTCCTTGGATTAACCAGTCCATATTTTAATAACTAAAAATGAAATAGTGAGAAATGATTTATAAACTCAATGAATCAAAATATTTTATGAATAAAATGACAAATGTATACATAACGATTAAACATAAATTTGTCACCAATACGATGCATCCCATACTCAGGTGACATGAAGAATTTCGTAAGGGTGAACAGCGAATGACTCTGAATACATAACAACTTCTGGCAGTAGAGTTCTCTTGCATTAAACACTAGTTTTAGGAGCCAAAATTAAAGACATTAAACTAATGACTATCACTTCTCATCAGGAATAACCACATTGCTTCATAATTCATTCCACGTGTTTCTGATCTCTGATGCATCTCTAATCCCAACCACTCGTCGTATTATTTTAAATCGAGGATTATTGTACTACCTCATCTTCACGTTCTGAGGACATCCGATTCAGATACAGATACACACGCTTCTTAGTCTGCAACGCGAGTCACATAATTAGGGGAGGCTAGGAAGTTGTAAATGCAAAACCGAATAGTGTACGCGAACCATGGATAGACATACATTTTCAAATTATCTGAGACATCTTGTTCACGGGATAACACGAGAGACTGAATAACTTTTCAGTGACTATGTGTTGATGTTACATTAGAACATATGTCTAAAACACTAGGATGTGGATTAAGTTGGGATAAAGTTGACAAAGTAACAGAAACTGGATCGCCACACTGGTTCAAATTATTTAATAATTGTACTAGTTGAAAATGATCTGTTGAAAGACAATTACATAACAGAGAAACAATTCGATTGCAAGCAGCTAATTGTAATTCTACATTTCCGACTGAAGTCAAGTCACCATTATTCATAGCCTCCAATTCAGACTCAAATGGCTGGCATAAACAAACAGTCAAATAGTAATGATAACAAAATAAAGTTTTCTCAAAAATAAAAGCTACAATCGTCAAATATTATTACGATTGAATCATATTATAAATTTAAAAAATAATCCACGCTGCACAATAGAACAGTATGATAAATGGATCGCACAAATCAAAACAAAAATCACCTGGTGCAACAGGCAAAAAATAATAGAGATAAAAAATGAAACGGTTGCTTCTTCGCTGAAATTCAGGGCTTCAATATGCGTAAGTATTGGTGAGAATAAAAATTCTCTATCTAGTTATTCATTTTACATGTTAACTGTATACCCAAACATTTACCGATTGCTCTCAACTTTTACATTAGACATGAAGATTAAATAAATCTAGTACAATAAATATTTGCTTAGCTCAACATTGTGACCGTTACCGCAATATCATCACATCAAGATCCTCAACCTACGGAATATCACAATATCGATTATATCATCTTGATTAAATTGAACACTATGGAAATGTTATAATTCTCTTTTATCACGACCCAGCTATTCCTATTGCTTAGTAATCTTGGACACCAATTCACCTATTCCTGTAGCCTTCTCACTTAACTTGCCGGATCTCACCCTTAAAAAGAGATCGTTCAAAAGACTTACAAATTAGGTATGGATGGCACAAATTTCAATAAACAAGGTATTGGGTTTTCACATATTCAGCTAAAGTTTCAAGTGTTCCAATTAAATTAGTGAAATCAAAAAGAACCAGCGCATAAACAAAGAGGTTCTTACCGGCACAGTAAATCAACACCGAATGTGGTTAGTACTAGTTAATTACCAAAGCAAATTACTCCGTACACTGCAAACAACTCGATGTGCTCTGTGGTAGGAAATTACGGATTTCACAAACAGCATCCACACACTTGTACAATGAATTCATTGAGAAGCATCACAATCCGATATCAAACAATCGGGTGAAGTCAACACGAGTTGAAACTAAGATGAACAACAAAGGGGGCACAATAACAAAAGTAGTAACGATAGTGCGAATACAGTTTAGAAAAACAATGACAGGGTGTTCAGCAAGAAATCCTGAAAATCAAGATCTAATGGGAAATAACGAATGAATCCGTCTGTACCATTATCAGTTGTGATATACAACGTCCCCACTTGACGTTGCAAAATCAGATGATACATGACTCGACTAGTAGCTACGGATCCTTGATTCTGATTTCGTGTGTACTCACTGATTCATCTGGAACATACATGCTAAAAGTCAGTCAGCGACCAAGTTACGTTCACACATTAACTTATATATAAATACACGTATTCATTCACAACTGGATTTCCAATAACAAACAGCTAACCCTACTGTAAGACCGACATCTGCGCCAATTTATTTTTGTCACAGTGACTAATGTGTTAAGCGGCGACTATTGCTGAGACCGGTAGAGTAATGATAAACACCAGTAAAAAAAAACCAGAACACCCTAATAATAGTTCGGTACATACCTTCTCTGAATTGCCAGAATAACCAATACCAGTATGACAAGTGTCTTCGCATTTGCTGTTCCACTGATTGTGATTGAAATCGTCACCGAAAAATACGTCAGATGAAGAGCACATTGTCACTGTGTCAAAACGCCGAGAGAGCTGCCTTAGTTACGAGCCCGAAACAACCGCGCTGGAAATGCCAGTGCCCAATGTAGTTAGTAAAAACAAATGTTTTGAGACATATGTTGTCTTTGTGCTTTCGAAACGACGATCTATCATCAGTGTACGCGGGAATAATTTTTCGGAATGGGCTGCTAACTTTTCGAACATTGCACACTGTTTAAAAAGGGCAGTGGTATTTTCCCTCTGAGTATATTTTATAGTATTGACCGCTTAATCGGACATCGAGACTACTGTTGTTGCTTTGACTGAATTTATTTCAGTTAAAGTAAGAAAATAGGTTAGTGCTATTGTTTTCCTCGTTGTGTATATCTTTGTATGTTGTTTGTATCCAAAGGTGTTAAGGTCTTTTCGTAACTACTGAAGTCGGGTGTTTTATTGTTGTTACGTACAGTAATATGCAAACCTCTGTTTTTGTTTGTGTTCAGTGTCCATCACCTGTCAAGCCTTAAAAAAGACACTTTTTCTAGAGATCAGTTCTCGCTGTTGTTCTTCCTGTGAGATCACGAAACAAATTTATGGTGCAGGTTAAACATCGTTGTGGCAGACCTGCATGCCACTTCCCTGTCGATGATGGAGTGCAATGTGACAACTGCAATAAGTGGCATCAAAATGTGTGCACCGAACTCACACCGGCTGCATATAGGAGGGAGTCGCAGATGCATGCGCACTTCAGGCAGACTTAAATATTTTGATTAGCTGGTCTAAGGAGTGGCTGATGCCTATCCACTTTTCTGGTCATAGATCATTTTTATCTCTCAGTACTATTGTATCCAGTACCTTTTTTAAAAAGACCTCCGTTTGATGGCTGGACAGTGCAACAGAAGCCATTGCCAACGTCCGGGCTGTCGATACCCTGTTGAAAACGGCATGCAGTGCGATGAGTGCAAAGGCTGGTACAACGAGTTGTGAGGCTTCGACAGAGAATGATGCCGAAACCACTCTGGGTGAGGCACGAAGCCATCTAGATAGGCTCCGGATCCGTTACACCGATGCTCAAAGCTTGCTCAATAAGCGATCGGAACTAGGTGTACAGATTGACTCTACAATGCCAGACATAATCACAGTCACAGAAACTCGGCTGACGCAGTCTATGGATAGTATGGAACTTGATTTAGAAGATGTTACGTTAGTAGGTGCCGACAGAATACAAAAGCGTAAAGATGGGAGAGTAGCTCTATTCATTAGGAATGCCATCCCATTTGCCATTATCGACAGTGTATCCCATGAGAGTGGGACGTGTGAATTAAGTAGTTGCCGTTTGAAATGCAAGGGACAAGAGCTGCTGATTGGTTTGATCTATCGCAGTCCGAGCTGTGAGGTAAATGAGGTCCTGCTAAGCAGTCTCAATACTTGGTCACAAAGTGGTCGATGTCTCAACCCAAGTATCTTATGACTACGGAGAGTAAGACCTTATGTAGAAAACACTGGGACTTACCAACATTTCCGCTTCTCAAACCTAGTGTGAAACCAAACTCCCTCAATACAACCAGGTCCCTCGACACATTAGATAGTCTTTTCATCTCTTCTTTTCCTTCTACACATATTTCATTTCTAAACATCTAACATCTATAACTATAAACACAAAAGTAATTTATCCTACGTTACACTTAAACAAATTAACTCAGCTTCGTTTTATCATCACCACATCTATATAACACACAGAAATTTACATCTTTTATTATCCTTCTCACTTGATTGTGACTTCCATAGCATCATTCTAAATTATTATTGCACAAATGTTTATACTAATATCCGGTTTTACTCTGTATTCTACTACTACTACTACTACTACTACTACTACTACTACTACTACTACTACTACTACTACTACTACTACTACTACTACTACTACTAATACCACTACTACATAAATCTACATTTATTCATCCAAGTGCACACAATTATTATCATGGTGGAACCCTTTCACTAGGTGATCCTTCCTAACTATGACTGCACAAACGCTTATTCTGACGTCATGTCTTGCTGCGATAATAAGTTACTTCTCTTATTTTTATTCTATTTTTGTCACTAATCTCGCGATACATGCATAGTCGTTTATCATTCTTCTGTGTTCGTTAACACGCTCATTGAACTGTAACAGCTTAGGCTGGTTGTCAAGAGTTAATCTCAAGCAAATAAGCATATACCAATCACTAACATCCATCGACGTCTTGGACGATGGGCAGAATTTTTCGAAGGGCAGTCCAACTGGCCTGCTGCTCCGCCATACGTTTGTCATATTTGTCTCGAACGCTACCTTCATCTACTATTCCGTCACATTCTCTCAATAACAGCAAAGTGTTTGGCGACAAGGCCAGCTTATCGTTAGCATCTTGGATAACTGGAGTTAAGGGTCGATCGTTCAGTATTCTTTCTACTTCGACCAAATAAGTGCCTAAAGCCTCATCAGTTAAAGTCTGTTCTCTGGTGATCAACAATTACAGTCGGCGTATAGACCTAATCATCCTTTCCCATACTCCACCCCTGTGGCTGG